CCCAGAGCCCCATGGCTCCTGAGACCATGGACCCCAGAGCCCCATGGCTCCTGAGACCATGGATCCCACAGCCCCATGGCTCCTGAGACCACGGATCCCACAGCCCCATGGCTGAAGAGACCACAGATCCCACAGCCCCCATGGCTCCTGAGACCATGGACCCCAGAGCCCCCATGGCTCACCATACCATGGCTGGATCTCGTCAGGTCCCACCCTGAGCATGGGGCTTCATGTGGCCCTCCACTGTGCCCTCCCTCCCTCCCCAGGCTCTCTGCTGCCTTCTGCTGCCCCCTCCTCTGCCCCCTCTGGTGCCCACCTCCTGTCCTCTTCCCCTCCTCCCTCTTCCCCTCACCCTAGGAACTGGGCCTCTGGGCTGTGGGATCTTGGTATGGGCTGGTGCCTTGGGTGCTGGGCAGGAGAGAGGGCATGTGTGGTGTGTGCAGTTGTGCACATCTGCTGACCACGCTGGGCCAGGGCAGCATGGAGGCCAGCTCTGGACGGTGTGCAGTCAGTGTCGATGGTGGTAGATGTTACAGAGCTGTGGTTATTAACCCAAGTTCACCCAGAGCAGCTGCTCTTTTAGTATAGAAGCAGTGCTGCTGGGCGCCAGTGGCTCACCCCTGTCACCCTAACTACTCAGGAGGCTGAGACCTAAGGATTTTCAAAGTCAGCCTGAGCAGGAAAATCTGTGAGACTTATCGTCAATTAATCACAGAAAAAGCTGGAAGTGGCACTGCAGCTCAAGTGTAGAGCACCAGCCTCGAGCACAAAAGCTCAGGGACAGTGCCCAGACCCTGAGTTCAAATCCCACAACCAGCACAAAACCCTAAACAAGTAAAACCAAAAGGCAATGCTGCCCAGAAGTGTTGAGAGGAGGAGGTGGGGGGCCTGAACCCCAGGAGGAGCCGCGCGCGGCCGGCACTGTGGTCATCCAGGAAGTGAGGCCTGTGCTCCGGCTGCCCCCGCCTTCCCCTCCCCGGCCTTCCCCTCCTAGGCGTCCCCACACAGCAGCAGCAGCCCACATATCCACAGATGTGACTGGGACAAACAAGCTGACCAGTCTTCCAGGGCCTCTCAGAGTTGGAGGCAATGAAGCACTGAGCGCCGGGGACCACCCTTGAAACATCCAGAGAGCAGTGTCCAGAACAGCCGATCTACAGATGGAAGTCAGGCTGGGCCCTCAGGCACAGGGGAGAGCAGGGTGACCAAAAACTCACTGGAAAAGCGCTGTGTTGCTTACCTCTCAGTGCCAACTGGCTAGGTTACAGCCCGCTCGCCAACTCCGATCCGGAGCGCTGCCGTGAAGCACTTTCTGGTTCTGTCCATGGTTAGTTTGCCCTCCTGCGGAGGGGTGGGCCTGGCCAATGGGTGATGCCTGGGAGTGAACCCCAGCAGACTCCTCGCTGGAGCCTCGTCTTACAAACCGCGTGCAAACCACACGGGCATCCTGGAGCCACACAGTCACGGCTGCCCGGAAATGCCAAGCGATGGTGACTGCTGACCTGCGTGGGGACGGGGCCGTGACGGGTGGGCTCTGCGCGGGGACGGGGCCATGACGGGTGGGCTCTGCGCGGGGACGGGGCCGTGACGGGTGGGCTCTGCACTGTGGGCTCTGCGCGGGGACGGGGCCATGACGGGTGGGCTCTGCACTGTGGGATCTGCGTGGGGACGGGGCCGTGACGGGTGGGCTCTGCACTGTGAGCTCTGCGTGGGGACGGGGCCATGACGGGTGGGCTCTGCGCGGGGACGGGGCCGTGACGGGTGGGCTCTGCACTGTGGGCTCTGCGCGGGGATGGGGCCGTGACGGGTGGGCTCTGCGCGGGGACGGGGCCATGACGGGTGGGCTCTGCACTGTGGGCTCTGCGCGGGGACGGGGCCGTGACGGGTGGGCTCTGCACTGTGGGCTCTGCATGGGGACGGGGCCGTGACGGGTGGGCTCTGCGCGGGGACGGGGCCGTGACGGGTGGGCTCTGCACTGTGGGCTCTGCGCGGGGACGGGGCCGTGACGGGTGGGCTCTGCACTGTGGGCTCTGCGCGGGGACGGGGCCGTGACGGGTGGGCTCTGCACTGTGAGCTCTGCGTGGGGACGGGGCCGTGACGGGTGGGCTCTGCGCGGGGACGGGGCCGTGACCGGTGGGCTCTGCACTGTGGGCTCTGCGTGGGGATGGGGCCGTGACCGGTGGACTCTGCACTGTGGGTTCTGTGTGGGGACGGGGCCGTGACGGGTGGGCTCTGCACTGTGGGTTCTGCGTGGGGACGGGGCCGTGACGGGTGGGCTCTGCATGGGGACGGGGCCGTGACGGGTGGGCTCTGCACTGTGGGTTCTGCGTGGGGACAGGGCCGTGACCGGTGAGCTCTGCGTGGGGATGGGGCCGTGACCGGTGGGCGCTGCACTGTGGGTTCTGCGTGGGGACGGGGCCGTGACGGGTGGGCTCTGCACTGTGGGTTCTGCGTGGGGACGGGGCCGTGACGGGTGGGCTCTGCATGGGGACGGGGCCGTGACGGGTGGGCTCTGCACTGTGGGTTCTGCGTGGGGACAGGGCCGTGACCGGTGAGCTCTGCGTGGGGATGGGGCCGTGACCGGTGGGCGCTGCACTGTGGGTTCTGCGTGGGGACGGGGCCGTGACGGGTGGGCTCTGCACTGTGGGCTCTGTGTGGGGACAGGGCCGTGACGGGTGGGCTCTGTGTGGGGACGGGGCCGCAACCGGTGGGCTCTGCACTGTGGGCTCTGCGTGGGGACGGGGCCGTGACGGGTGGGCTCTGCACTGTGGGCTCTGCGTGGGGATGGAGCCGTGACCGATGGGCTCTGCACTGTGGGCTCTGCATGGGGACGGGGCCGCGACGGGTGGGCTCTGCACTGTGGGTTCTGCGTGGGGACGGGGCCGTGACGGGTGGGCTCTGCACTGTGGGTTCTGCGTGGGGACGGGGCCGTGACGGGTGGGCTCTGTGTGGGGACGGGGCCGTGACGGGTGGAATCTGCGTGGGGACGGGGCTGCAACGGGTGGGCTCTGCGTGGGGACGGGGCCGCGACCGGTGGGTTCAGCTGTGGCTGTGTCCCCGCAGGTGCTGGAAGGCAGGGGTCATCACTCATGTCTGTGTATACCGCACCTGCATATCTCCTGTTCTGCAGTCCTCTGCCGTCCGCCCTGTCCTGCCCGGCATCAGACCCCTGGGGAGCCAGGCTGGGTCTGAGGGCTTGCCAGGACCCCAGCGTGGCCTCGGACCAGGGAGGCTGGCCAGGCTGGCAGGGCAGGGCCAGGTGGTGCCAGGTCCTCAAGCCAGACAGACTCCATGAATCAGCTCGCTGGCACTCGCCGCGCTGCAGCTGGAGCTGGGCTGTGGCTGCCCCGGCGTGGGGTGCGGGGGGAGGGGGAGCGGGCCAGGGGCTGCTGCAGTCCACACGTGCACGTGTGCGCGCCCCTCGAGAGGCGCAGAGCAGCGCGTCAGCACCTACCTGTGCTCGCGGTGTGAGTGCTCTGCCACCTACAGTGTGTGGGGGGCGGCCTGGCGTGGGGCGGGATGGGGGAACAGACCTGGTGTGGGGGGCGGCCTGGCGTGGGGCGGGATGGGGGAACAGACCTGGTGTGGGGTGTGGGCCTGGCGTGGGGTTGGGGTGTGGGCCTGGCGTGGGGTTGGGGTGTGGGCCTGGCGTGGGGTTGGGGGGGGCCTGGCATGGGCAGCGGTTGGATGGCTGGCAGCACTGGGGCCAGCAGCACTGTTTGTCCATGTGGCAGGGAACACAAGCTCTGCAGGGCCGCGGTCACCAGGGCAAGACCTGTACAGAGCACTGAGTCCTGCCAGTGCGGCCCTGGCCCCCCGGCCCACCCTGCCAGTGCGGCCCCCGCCCCCCCCCCTCCCCGGCCCACCCTGCCAGTGCGGCCCCCGCCCCCCCCTCCCCGGCCCACCCTGCCAGTGCGGCCACCACCCCCCGGCCCACCCTGCCAGTGCGGCCCACCTGCCAGTTCGGCCCCTGCCCCCCGGCCCACCCTGCCAGTGCGGCCCCTGCCCCCCGGCCCACCCTGCCAGTGCGGCCCACCCTGCCAGTGCGGCCCCCGCCCCCCGGCCCACCCTGCCAGTGCGGCCCCCGCCCACCTCCCTACCCCAAAGAAGAGGGACAGCAGAGATGGCCACTGGGGATCCCCAAGGCAGACGCCTCCTCCCCACCTCAGCCCCCCATCTGCCCCACCCCGTGGGCATCCATGCCGGTGGAGGCAGGACTCAGAAGCACAGAGTTTATTGTGCCACCCGCTGAGGACTCGGGGACAGAGCTAGAGCAAGCAGGAGGGGTGCATAGGGAGGGAGAAGAGCCTTGGCCATGGGTCCGGGCGCAGCCGGGCTCTGGGGCTGCTGCTCGGGGTGATGCGGCCTCAGCAGGCTGCATCGCTAGCTCCTCAGAGGCTGGGTCTGGCCAGAGCCTTTGGGAAACGACGACACTGACGAAGCCCAAGTGGGCACCAGGAAGGGAGAGCAAGGAGCTTTCCAGAAGAGAGCCGAGAAGACAGGCACAGCGGGGTCGGCCGGGCGTGAGGGCCGGACAGACTGAACAGCGGGGTCAGCCGGGCGTGAGGGGCAGACAGACTGAACAGCGGGGTCGGCCGGGCGTGAGGGGCAGACAGACTGAACAGTGGGGTCAGCAGGAGTGAGGCGCAGACAGACTGGAACAGCGGGGTCAGCAGGGCGTGAGGCGCAGACAGACTGAACAGCGGGGTCAGCAGGAGTGAGGCGCAGACAGACTGAACAGCGGGGTCGGCCGGGCGTGAGGGCCGGACAGACTGAACAGCGGAGTCGGCCGGGCGTGAGGGCCGGACAGACTGAACAGCGGGGTCGGCCGGGCGTGAGGGGCAGACAGACTGAACAGCGGGTTCAGCAGGAGTGAGGCGTGGACAGACTGAACAGCGGGGTCGGCCGGGCGTGAGGTGCAGACAGACTGGAGCAGCGGGGTCGGCCGGGAACGGGGGTCCTCTGAGAAGGGGCTGGGGCCCTCCCCTGCCTATCTCTGGTCACCCCTGCCCCAGAGGCACATGGGGACTCTCGGACACGGGCCCCGGGGCCGCGGGGGACAGCATGAGGGCCTCTGTGGCCCGCTGGCTCCTGGGGCGCGGTGCACAGCCCGAAGCCGGCGGGAGGCAGGGCCGGCGGGGGGGGCCGCGGCCGCGGCGGGCCCGCAGGTGCTCCCGGTAGTTCCTGGTGAGCAGGGTGTAGAGGAAGGGGTTGATGCAGCTGTTACCATAGGTGAGGCAGGTGGTCAGGTAGTTGGCCAGGCGTGCGGCCCGAGGGCTGAGCGGCAGCACCTCCTGGAAGTGGGCAAGCAGCTGCCACAGCCAGAAGGGCAGGAAGCAGGCCCAGAAGAGCAGGACAATGCCGAGAATGAGCCAGAGCACCCTGGGGCTCGGCAGCCGCCCCGTCCGCGGGAAGGAGGCCCTCTGTGACCGCCAGTAGGCCCGGGCCAGGCCCACGTACAGCAGCCCTATGATCAGGCCGGGCCCCATGATGCTGGTTCCAAAGAGTAGCGTCAGGTAGGCGCGGTGGGCGCGGGGGCCCCAGGCTGGCAGGCAGAGGCTCTTGGAGCCCCTGCGGACCAGCCGGATGCCCAGCGTCATGGGCAGCGTCAGCAGCAGTGCCAGAAGCCAGGTGCCCAGGGCCAGCAGCTTGCGGTAACCCTTGGCGCGCCGCACCGTGTCCAGAGGCCTCCGCACCGCGGCGTAGCGCTCGCTGCTCATGATGGTCAGTGTGAAGATGCTGGCGTGCATGGTCAGGAAGTCCAGGCTGAAGAGGACACGGCAGCCCACGTCTCCAAAATGCCAGTTCCTGGTGACGTAGGTGGCCACGATGAAGGGGATGCTGAGCAGGTACAGCAGGTCGGCCAGTGCCAGGTTGACCACATAGACGTACAAGGGGGCGGAGGCACGCAGGAAGCGGCACATGACCACCAGCGTGTACACATTGCCTGCCACGCCCACCACGCCCACCGCCGACAGCACAGCCCCGATCGCTCCTGCAGTCACCAGGTCCTGCGGGGACCCGGGCTCTGGGGGGCTGGACCAGGAGCTGTTGGGGGCCACGTTGGGGCCACCTGGCAGCTCAGGCGTGGCACTGCCCTGGAGGGCCAGCAAGGGGAAGTGGGTCACAGGCTCCAGGTCCAGCGCCATCCCTGCCCTCCCATGAGGCTCCAGGACCTGCTGCTCCTTACAGAGGGGCGACAGCTTGTCCTGCGGGGGAGGGGAGGGGCCCGTCAGCGGCGCGGGCACGCCCCTCACCCCTTCAAGGCCCCAGTGGGGGTGCAGCTCCCACGGGGCCCCTCCCCTGCAGAGGGACAGGGACCGGGCTGTTCAACATCCCCCATCCCCAGGACTCCAGCCACACCCAAAGGCCACACCTGAAGGTCCACAGTTGCAGGAGTGCGACGCAGAAAACCTCCACCACAACACCACCGGCTGGCTCAGAACCAACCCAGGAAGCCGTCGAGAGACCTCTGCTGCAGGAACCCTTCCTGTGGGAGACGGGCACTGGTGGTGACCCAGGGGCCCAGACCCCTTCCCCTGCTGGAGCGCGACCTTCGACCCAGGGGCCCAGACCCCTTCCCCTGCTGGAGCGCGACCTTCGACCCAGGGGCCCAGACCCCTTCCCCTGCTGGAGCGCGACCTTCGACCCAGGGGCCCAGACCCCTTCCCCTGCTGGAGCGCGACCTTCGACCCAGGGGTCCAGACCCCTTCCCCTGCTGGAGAGCGACCTTCGACCCAGGGGCCCAGACCCCTTCCCCTGCTGGAGCACGACCTTCCTGTGGGAGTTGGGCACTGGTGGTGACCCAGGGGCCCAGACCCCTTCCCCTGCTGGAGAGTGACCTTCGACCCAGGGGCCCAGACCCCTTCCCCTGCTGGAGAGCGACCTTCGACCCAGGGGTCCAGACCCCCTTCCCCTGCTGGAGAGCGACCTTCGACCCAGGGCCCAGACCCCCTTCCCCTGCTGGAGCGCGACACCATACTAGGAGGGCAAAAAGGCCGGAGTCTTTCCTCCCACCCCTTCTCCAGCTACCTGGGGAAGATCATCAGGATGCATCCCTGCGCCAGGCTAGAGAACTACAGGGACCGGCAGACTTAAAAACCCTGGCTTGCTCCAAGGGGAACGGCGAGAAACTGCCCTGCCCGCCACGCAGGCCCCTGCCACAGGGCCCCAGCCACCTCGCCCGCCACGCCACCTCGCCCGCCATGCAGGACCCTTCCCCCCCTCCCCAGGGCCCTGACATCTGGCTACGACCAATCTCATTGCTTGTGCCGCTCTGCAGAAAGCTGCCAAGCACACAGTCCAACAGCAGCCATCCAGCGAACCACATCCCACTGAACTTAACCCATAAACTGACCGGGCCCTACCGTCTCTGAACCCAAATGTGTGAATCACAGTGAAAAATCACAAAATTCATCATCAATCAAGACAACATGACACTCTCAAAAGCAACAATCCAGGGAAGGACTCCAGTGAGAACGAAGAAGAGATGGAGATCAGAAGAACCATTCAAGCAATGATGAGAGAATTAACCGATAAAATGAAAGGATTGATCCAAAAACAAATAGAAGAATTCTAGGAAGAAATGACCAAGAAAATGCAGGACATCCACGAAGATATGGAGAAGACAGAAACATTACACATCTCACTGAAAGACAAACTCCCTGGGATCTGACATCAACAAAGAGCTAGGAAACAGGAAAGGTCTATCTCCTCATTGCAAACCAATGGAAGTAAAAGCAATAGAACAAGTGAAGTAGAAAACAGGCTATCAGGAGTTGAGGATAAAGCAGAGGAATTAGAACAAAAACTCAAAAGCATGGAGAAAAACACTTGGAACATACCAAAGAATTGGAAGATTCAGCCAAAAGATCAAATCAACGCATAGTCAGGAGAGATAAGGGAGAATTCAAAACCAAAGGCATTGAAAACCTATTTAACAAAATAAACCAAAATATCCACAATCTCAAGAGAATCTCACCCACCTGACAGAGGTATGCAGAACTCCTAGTAGACACTAGCCAAGAAAAATACCTCTGGGGGGGCTGGGAAGGTGGCTCAGTGGTAGAGCGCTTGCCTTGTATGCCTGAGGCCCTGGGTTCGATTCCTCAGCACCACATAAGCAAAAAGAAAAAAGCTGGAAGTGGCGCTGTGGCTAAAGTGGTAGAGCACTCGCCTTGAGCTGAAGAGCTGAGGGACAGCGCCCAGGCCCAGAGTTCAGGCCCCACAACTGGACCCCCCCAAAAAACCAAAACCAAAAACAACCTCTGGACACATTGTAGTGAAAACTTAAAAACCAAGAAATTAATTTTAAACACAGAAACATCAAGAGGAAGCTTTATTACAACAGAAAGATGAGAATTCCTGCACACACTCAATGCATGGAGAGCCTGGGGTGGTATAATCAAAGCTCTAAATGACAGAAACTGCCAACCCAGACTGGTGAACCCGGAAAAGGGAACATTCACAGTAGACAGCAGAACTAAAACCTTCAAAAACAAGCAAAAACGGAAGGAATCCATGAACAGTAAAGCAGCACTACAAAGAATACTAAATGGAAGCATACAATCTGAAGAAAACAACCAAAGTCAAGGAAACACAACATTACATTAAAATCACTAGAAGTTTTAGCAAACACAAGAAGAGGAAAGAAGCACGCTACAGGAAAACAACAAAATGGCAGGAAAAATGACGTATTTCTTTTCTTTTTGTTGGTTGTGGGGCTTGAATTCTGGGCTTGGACCCTGACCCTGTGCTCTTCAGCTCAAGGCTAGCACTCTACCACATAAGCCACAGTGTCACTTCTGATTTTTTAGTGGTTTATTGGAGATAAGAGTCTCATGGTCTTTTTGTGCCTGGGCTGGCTTTGAATTGTGATCCTCAGATCTCAGCCTCCTGAGTAGCTAGGATTACATGCGTGAGCCACTGTACCCGGCTAATATGACATATTTCTCCACAGTAACATTAAACACCGATGGACTCAACTCTCCAACCAAAAGATGTAGGAGACTGGATCAAAAAATAAGATCCAACCAACTGCTGTCTCCAAAAAACCCAGATCAAAGATAAATTCTGAGGGAAGAGATGGAAAAGGATCTTTCATGCAAATTCATCCTGCAAGAAGACAGGAGAAGCCATATTGCTGTCAGATAAAATAAACTTCTCAGTAAAACCAGTAATAAGAGACAAAGAAAGACATTCCATATCAATAAAGGGAATGATCCAGGAAGAGGAAATCCCAGTAATAAATATTTATGTACCTAAATAGAGCACTAATACATCAAACACTCTTGGACTTGCAGAACATGATAGACCCCAACACAACAATAGTGGGAGACTTTAACACCCCACTGGCACCCAATCACAGGTCAAACAAACAAAAGATCAGCAAAGAAACCTCTGAATTAAATGGCACCATAACTCAAACGGATGTTTTAGACTTCTGCAGGGTGTCTGACACAACAGTCACAGATTTCACATTCTTCTCAGCAGCCCATGGAACTGTCTCCAAAATCAATCATTTCCTAGGACACCCAAAAAGCCCGAACAAATACAAAATGACTGAGATAACTCCTGGCATCCTATCTGATCGAAATAGAATGAAATTAGATCTCATTAGCAAAACACACTGCAGAAAACGTTTAGACACATGGAGACTGAACGGCCTATTCGGAACAAAACGTGGGTTACTGGAGAAATAAAGAGGGAATCAGAAAATCCTTGTAATTCAGTGAAAATAAAAACACAATCACACTGGAACCACCAGGATATGGCAAAAGCAGCGTTGAGAGGAAAGCACATAGCTCTAGGCACGTAAAACAGAAACAGCTCAAGTAAATAATCTCATGATGTAACTAAAGCTGCTAAAAAAAACACCCCAGGAACAAGCCAAACCCCAAACTACTAGACAGAGAGAGATAGTAAAGATTAGGATGGAAATCAATGAAATAGAGACAAAAACTATACATAAAATCAATGAAACAAAAAGCTGGTTTTTAAAAAAATAAAATAAAATTGACAGACCACTAATTAATTCAAATCAACAAAATTAAAGATGCCAAAGGAAACCACAACAAACACTCAAGAAACCTAAAAGATTATGAGTTACTACTTTCAAAACCCGCACTCAAAGATGATGGGAAATCTAGTAGACATGGATAAATTCTGAGAGACATACAAACTGCCTAAGCTGAAACAAGAAGATATAAATCACTAACACAGCCCATTACAAACAATAAGATTGAAGTAGGAAAAGCCCAGGACTCACAGCTGAATTCTATAAGACTTTTAAAGCTGAGCTAACACCAGGACTCCTCAAACTTTTCCATGAACTAGAAAGAGAAGGATCAATTCCAAACCCATTCTATGAAGCCAACATCACACTCATCTCAAAACTAGGTAGGGATCCAACATAAAAAGAGAACACGGACCAACTGCTCTGATGAACACAGATGCAAAGCTCTTAAAAAATACTAGCCAGCCAGGCGCTGGTGGCTCATGCCTGTAATCCTAGCTACTCAGGAGGCTGAGATCTGAGGACCGCGGTTCAAAGCCAGCCCGGGCAGGAGGGACCGTGAGACTCCTATCTCCAATAAACCACCAGAAAACCGGAAGTGGCGCTGTGGCTCAAGTGGTAGAGCGCTCGCCTTGAGCTGAAGAGCTGAGGGACAGCACCCAGGCCCAGAGTTCAAGCCCCACGACCGACAAAAAAAAAAAAAAATACTAGTCATGGGCTGGGAAGGTGGCTCAGTGGTAGAGTGCTTGCCTTGTTTGCATGAGGCCCTGGTCTGATTCCAGCTGAAAATGCTGGAAGTGGCGCTGTGGCTCAAGTGGTAGAGCGATAGTCTTGAGCTGAAGAGCTGAGGGACAGCGCCCAGGCCCAGATTTCAGGCCCCACGACTGACCAAAAAACAAACAAAAAACTAGCCAACAGAATTCAGCAACAAATTTAAAAAATCATACATTATGATCAAGTAGGTTTCACCCCAGAGAGGCAAGGCTGGTGTAACATACGTAAATCAGGAAACATAACACTACACTAGCAGAGACAGAGACAAGAACCACATGATCATCTCAGCAGATGCAGCAGAAGCCTCTGACAAAATCCAACATCCATTCACATTAAAAGCTCTGGAAAAGCTAGAAAGAGAAGGAACTTACCTTTTATAATAAAGGCTATATAACAGACCAATAGCCAACATATACTGAGCAGTGAAAATCCAAAAACATTTCCTTGAAAACCAGGAAAAAGACAAGGATGTCCACTCTCTCCATTCCTCTTCAATACAGTTCTGGAATTCCCAGCCACAACAAAAGGCAAGAAAAAGATATAGAAGGGATTCATATAAGGAAAGAAGAACTCAAACTGTCCTTATTTGCAAATGACATGATCTTATATCTAAGGGACCCAAAAGACTCCACCCCCAACTCCTAGATCTGATCAATAACTTTGGTAAAGTAGCAGGATACCATTAACCCACAAAATTCTTTCTGTATACCAATAATGTACAAGCAGAGAGGGAAATCAGGAAAACAACTCCATTTGCAATAGCCTCAAAAATTATATCTGGGAATAAACCTAGCCAAGGAAGCAAAAGATCTTTATAGCTAAAACTATAAAAATTTGGAGGAACAAATCAAAGACAACATCAGGAAATGGAGAGACCCTTCCTGTTCATGGATGGATAGAATTAATATTGTGAAAATGGCCATACTGCCAAAAATTAACTACAAACTTAACATAATTGAGTTGGCGCTGGTGGCTCACACCTGTCATCCTAGCTACTCAGGAGGCTGAGATCTGAGGACTATGGTTCAAAGCCAGCTGGGGTAGGAAAGTCCAAGAAAACTGGAAGTGGTGCTGTGCTGTGGCTCAAGTGGTAGAGTGCTAGCCTTGAGCTGAAGAGCTGAGGGACAGCACCCAGGCCCAGAGTTCAAGCCCCACGACCGACAAAGAAAAAAAAACCCGTAATCCCTATAAAAATTCCAATGATGTTCTTTACCAAGATAGAGAAAAAAATCCAAAAATTGCTATGGTACAACAAAAGACCCTGAATAGCCAAAGCTATTCTAGGCAAAAATGTAATGCTGGCAGTATCACAATCCCCATAAAGCTCTACAACAAAGCCATGATAACAAAAGCAGCTTGGTATTGGCACAAAATAGACCTGAAGATCAATGGAAAAGACTGGAAGAAGCCAGAAATAAAGCCATATACTTGCAGTTATCTGATATTTGGTAAGGGAGCCAAAATGGAAAAAAAGATAGACTCTTCAAGGAGTTGGGAAGACTGGTCATCCATATGCAGAAAACCAAAAGTGAATCCCTGTTTGTCACCAGACACTAATATCAACTCAAAGTGGATCAAGGACCTGTCACCATATACTAACATCAACTCAAAGTGGGTCACAGACCTCAACATCAGATCACAGACTTTGAAACTACTGCAAAAAGGATAGGAGAAACATCAGAACTTACAGACATAGGCAGAAACTTTTCTGAAAAGTCCCAGGGCACAACAGACAGAAGACAGACTTGGCAAGTGGGACTACATCAAGATAAAAGCTTTCTTCACAGCAAAGGACATGGTTACGACACTAGAAAGGCAGCCAACAGGCTGGGAGAAGGTCTTTACCAGCCATACGTCAGGCAAAGGCCTAATATCCAATATAGAGCGGTTCAAACCTAATAAACCCATCACTAAATGGGCAAGGGAGCTAAGCAGACTTCTCAGAAGAGGAAAGTGGCAAAGAAACACACAAGGAAATGCTCATCATCCCTGGCCACAAAGGAAATGCAAGTCAGAACAACTTTCAGATTCCACGACACTCGAAAAATATTGAACTTGAACGACACGTGCTGGCAGGGATGTGGGGAAAAGAAGCTACTGCACCGCTGTGGGGATGTGGACAGGACAGCCATGCTGGACAGCAGTGTGGAGGTTCCTCAGACGCGAACGGTCCATGCCGGTGGAGGCAGGACTCAGAAGCACAGAGTTCATTGTGCCACCCGCTGAGGACTCGGGGACAGAGCTAGAGCAAGCAGGAGGGGTGCATAGGGAGGGAGAAGAGCCTTGGCCATGGGTCCGGGCGCAGCCGGGCTCTGGGGCTGCTGCTCGGGGTGATGCGGCCTCAGCAGGCTGCATCGCCAGCTCCTCAGAGGCTGGGTCTGGCCAGAGCCTTTGGGAAACGACGACACTGACGAAGCCCAAGTGGGCACCAGGAAGGGAGAGCAAGGAGCTTTCCAGAAGAGAGCCGAGAAGACAGGCACAGCGGGGTCGGCCGGGCGTGAGGGCCGGACAGACTGAACAGCGGGGTCAGCCGGGCGTGAGGGCCGGACAGACTGAACAGCGGGGTCAGCCGGGCGTGAGGGGCAGACAGACTGAACAGCGGGGTCGGCCGGGCGTGAGGGGCAGACAGATTGAACAGCGGGGTCAGCAGGGCATGAGGGCTGGACAGACTGAACAGCGGGGTCAGCAGGGCGTGAGGGCCGGACAGACTGAACAGCGGGGTCGGCCGGGTGTGAGGGGCAGACAGACTGAACAGCGGGGTCAGCAGGAGTGAGGCGCAGACAGACTGAACAGCGGGGTCAGCCGGGCGTGAGGGCCGGACAGACTGAACAGCGGGGTCAGCAGGGCGTGAGGCGCAGACAGACTGAACAGCGGGGTCAGCAGGAGTGAGGCGCAGACAGACTGAACAGCGGGGTCGGCCGGGCGAGAGGCGCGGACAGACTGAACAGCGGGGTCAGCAGGAGTGAGGCGCCCGGCTGACCCCGCTGTTCCTGTCTGCACCTCACTGGTGCACGACCTGTGGTCGTGAGCAGGAGGTGCAGGTGTGAGCAGTGTGGCTGGGAGCACGGTGTGCAGGTGTCTTCATCACACGCTGGCTCATGAGCTCAGGGTCCGTGCCCGGCACCTCCTGCTCACGGCCACACTCCTCACACCTGCACCTCCCGCTCACGGCCACACTGCTCACACCTGCACCTCCCGCTCACGATCACACTGCTCACACCTGCACCTCCCGCTCACGGCCACACTGCTCACACCTGCACCTCCCGCTCACGATCACACTGCTCACACCTGCACCTCCCGCTCACGATCACACTGCTCACACCTGCACCTCCCGCTCACGGCCACACTGCTCACACCTGCACCTCCCGCTCACGACCACACTGCTCACACCTGCTCCTCCTGCTCACGATCACACTGCTCACACCTGCACCTCCCGCTCACGGCCACACTGCTCACACCTGCACCTCCCGCTCACGGCCACACTGTTCACACCTGCACCTCCCGCTCACGGCCACACTCCTCACACCTGCACCTCCCGCTCACGATCACACTCCTCACACCTGCACCTCCCGCTCACGATCACACTGCTCACACCTGCACCTCCCGCTCACGACCACACTGCTCACACCTGCACCTCCCGCTCACGACCACACTGCTCACACCTGCACCTCCTGCTCACGATCACACTCCTCACACCTGCACCTCCTGCTCACGGCCACACTGCTCACACCTGCACCTCCCGCTCACGGCCACACTGCTCACACCTGCACCTCCCGCTCACGATCACACTCCTCACACCTGCACCTCCCGCTCACGGCCACACTCCTCACACCTGCACCTCCCGCTCACGGCCACACTGCTCACACCTGCACCTCCTGCTCACGATCACACTGCTCACACCTGCACCTCCCGCTCACGATCACACTGCTCACACCTGCACCTCCCGCTCACGATCACACTGCTCACACCTGCACCTCCCGCTCACGATCACACTCCTCACACCTGCACCTCCTGCTCACCGCCTCACTGCTCACACCTGCACCTCCTGCTCATGACCTCACTGCTCACACCTGCACCTCCCGCTCACGATCACACTCCTCACACCTGCACCTCCCGCTCACGATCACACTGCTCACACCTGCACCTCCCGCTCCCAGCCACACTCCTCACACCTGCACCTCCCGCTCACGATCACACTGCTCACACCTGCACCTCCCGCTCACGACCACACTGCTCACACCTGCACCTCCCGCTCACGACCACACTCCTCACCACAGCCTGTTATGGCGACATCCTCGGCAGGTGAGTAGAAACGTGGAACCTGTCACACTGAGACTTTACACAGGTCAGAAAGAGCGGCAGGAAGCTGTCTGCAGGGATGAGGGACCCAAAACGAACCCTATTAAGGAGTCAGGCTCAGAGGGACAAATGGACTGGGCCGCACTGGGGCGGAGTGGGCCGCACTGGGGCCGCACTGGGGCAGACTGGGCCGCACTGGGGCCGCACTGGGGCAGACTGGGCCGCACTGGGGCAGACTGGGCCGCACTGGGGCCTCACTGGGGCAGACTGGGCCGCATTGGGGCGGACTGGGACGCATTGGGGCCGCACTGGGGCAGACTGGGCCGCACTGGGGCCGCACTGGGGCAGACTGGGCCGCACTGGGGCCGCACTGGGGCAGACTGGGCCGCACTGGGGCCGCACTGGGGCAGACTGGACCGCATTGGGGCAGACTGGGCTGCATTGGGGCCGCACTGGGCCGGCCCCGCCGTGTCCCGCCTGGGTCGCACGTGGAGCTGCCCGCACTGGGCTGCACTGGGGCCGCACTGGGGCAGACTGGGCCGCACTGGGGCAGACTGGGCCGCACTGGGGCTGCACTGGGGCAGACTGGGACTCACTGGGGCAGACTGGGCCGCACTGGGGCCGCACTGGGGCGGACTGGGCCGCACTGGGGCCGCACTGGGGCAGACTGGGCCACACTGGAGCGGACTGGGCCGCACTGGGGCTGCACTGGGGCGGACTGGGCCACACTGGAGCGGACTGGGCCGCACTGGGGCTGCACTGGGGCAGACTGGGCCGCATTGGGGCAGACTGGGCCGCACTGGGGCCACACTGGGGCGGACTGGGCCGCACTGGGGCAGACTGGGCCGCATTGGGGCAGACTGGGCCGCACTGGGGCAGACTGGGCCGCACTGGGGCAGACTGGGCCGCATTGGGGCAGACTGGGCCGCACTGGGGCGGACTGGGCCGCACTGGGACAGACTGGGCCGCATTGGGGCGGACTGGGCCGCACTGGGGCCGCACTGGGGCGGACTGGGCCGCACTGGGGCAGACTGGGCCGCACTGGGGCCTCACTGGGGCAGACTGGGCCGCATTGGGGCGGACTGGGACGCATTGGGGCCGCACTGGGGCAGACTGGGCCGCACTGGGGCCGCACTGGGGCAGACTGGGCCGCACTGGGGCCGCACTGGGGCAGACTGGGCCGCACTGGGGCAGACTGGGCCGCACTGGGGCAGACTGGGCCGCATTGGGGCGGACTGGGCCGCACTGGGGCCGCACTGGGGCGGACTGGACCGCATTGGGGCAGACTGGGCCGCACTGGGGCGGACTGGGGCCGGCCCCGCCCTGTCCCGCCCGGGTCGCACGCGAGCCAGCCCCGGTGGCGGCGTGGCGCGCGGCCTCTTCCCGCGGCCCTGTGGAGCGGGCGGGCTGGCGGGGGTCCCGGCCCCGGGCTGGCGGGGTGGAGGGGCGGGGTGGAGGGGTGGAGGGGCGGGGTGGAGGGGCGGGGTGCAGGGGAGGGGTGGAGGGGTGCAGGGGCGGGGTGGAGGGGTGGAGGGGCGGGGGTGGCGGGGTGCAGGGGCGGGGTGGAGGGGCGGGGTGGAGGGGTGGAGGGGTGCAGGGGCGGGGTGGAGGGGCGGGGTGGAGGGGTGGAGGGGTGCAGGGGCGGGGTGGAGGGGCGGGGTGGAGGGGCGGGGTGGAGGGGCGGGGTGCAGGGGCGGGGTGGAGGGGCGGGGTGGCGGGGTGCAGGGGCGGGGTGGAGGGGCGGGGTGCAGGGGCGGGGTGGAGGGGTGGAGGGGAGGGGTGGCGGGGTGCAGGGGCGGGGTGGAGGGGCGGGGTGCAGGGGCGGGGTGGAGGGGTGGAGGGGTGCAGGGGCGGGGTGGAGGGGCGGGGTGGAGGGGCGGGGTGGAGGGGCGGGGTGCAGGGGCGGGGTGGAGGGGTGGAGGGGAGGGGTGGCGGGGTGCAGGGGCGGGGTGGAGGGGCGGGGTGGAGGGGCGGGGTGGAGGGGTGGAGGGGCGGGGTGGAGGGGCGGGGTGGAGGGGTGGAGGGGCGGGGTGCAGGGGCGGGGTGGAGGGGTGGAGGGGAGGGGTGGCGGGGTGCAGGGGCGGGGTGGAGGGGCGGGGTGGAGGGGCGGGGTGGAGGGGTGGAGGGGCGGGGTGCAGGGGCGGGGTGGAGGGGTGGAGGGGCGGGGTGCAGGGGCGGGGTGGAGGGGTGGAGGGGTGGAGGGGCGGGGTGGAGGGGTGGAGGGGCGGGGTGGAGGGGTGGAGGGGTGGAGGGGCGGGGTGGAGGGGTGGAGGGGTGGAGGGGAGGGGTGGAGGGGTGGAGGGGCGGGGTGGAGGGGCGGGGTGGAGGGGCGGAGGGGTGGAGGGGCGGGGTGGAGGGGCGGAGGGGCGGGGTGGAGGGGTGGAGGGGTGGAGGGGCGGGGTGGAGGGGTGGAGGGGCGGGGTGCAGGGGCGGGGTGCAGGGGCGGGGTGGAGGGGCGGGGTGGAGGGGCGGGGTGGAGGGGTGCAGGGGCGGGGTGGAGGGGTGGAGGGGCGGGGTGGAGGGACGGGGTGGAGGGGTGGAGGGGTGGAGGGGCGGGGTGGAGGGGTGCAGGGGCGGGGTGGAGGGGCGGGGTGGAGGGGTGGAGGGGCGGGGTGGAAGGGTGGAGGGGCGGGGTGGAGGGGTGGAGGGGTGGAGGGGCGGGGTGGAGGGGTGCAGGGGCGGGGTGGAGGGGCGGGGTGGAGGGGTGGAGGGGCGGGGTCGAGCGGCGGGGCGGGGTGGAGGGGCGGGGGTGGAGCGGCGGGGCGGGGCGGAGGGGCGGGGTGGCGGGGTGGAGGGGCGGGGTGGAGGGGCGGGGTGGAGGGGCGGGGTGGAGGGGTGGAGGGGCGGGGTGGAGGGGTGGAGGGGCGGGGTGGCGGGGTGGAGGGGCGGGGTGGAGGGGCGGGGTGGAGGGGCGGGGTGGAGGGGTGGAGGGGCGGGGTGGAGGGGTGGAGGGGCGGGGCGGGGCGGGGTGGAGGGGCGGGGTGGAGGGGTGGAGGGGCGGGGTGGAGGGGTGGAGGGGCGGGGTGGAGGGGCCGGGTGGAGGGGCGGGGTGGCGGGGTGGAGGGGCGGGGTGGAGGGGCGGGGTGGAGGGGCGGGGTGGAGGGGTGGAGGGGTGGAGGGGCGGGGCGGGGCGGGGTGGAGGGGCTGGGTGGAGGGGTGGAGGGGCGGGGGTGGAGGGGTGGAGGGGCGGGGTGGAGGGGCGGGGTGGAGGGGTGGAGGGGCGGGGTGGAGGGGTGGAGGGGCCGGGTGGAGGGGTGGAGGGGTGGAGGGGTGGAGGGGCGGGGTGGAGGGGTGGAGGGGCCGGGTGGAGGGGCGGGGTGGAGGGGCGGGGTGGAGGGGTGGAGGGGCGGGGTGGAGGGGTGGAGGGGCGGGGTGGAGGGGTGGAGGGGTGGAGGGGTGGAGGGGCGGGGTGGAGGGGTGGAGGGGCCGGGTGGAGGGGCGGGGTGGAGGGGTGGAGGGGCGGGGTGGAGGGGTGGAGGGGCGGGGTGGAGGGGTGGAGGGGCGGGGTGGAGGGGCGGGGTGGAGGGGCGGGGTGGAGCGGCGGGGCGGGGCGGAGGGGCGGGGTGGCGGGGTGGAGGGGCGGGGTGGAGGGGCGGGGTGGAGGGGCGGGGTGGAGGGGTGGAGGGGCGGGGTGGAGGGGTGCAGGGGCGGGGCGGGGCGGGGTGGAGGGGCGGGGTGGAGGGGTGGAGGGGCGGGGTGGAGGGGTGGAGGGGCGGGGTGGAGGGGCCGGGTGGAGGGGCGGGGTGGAGGGGTGGAGGGGCGGGGTGGAGGGGCGGGGTGGAGGGGTGGAGGGGCGGGGTGGCGGGGTGGAGGGGCGGGGTGGAGGGGCGGGGTGGAGGGGCGGGGTGGAGGGGTGGAGGGGCGGGGTGGAGGGGTGGAGGGGCGGGGTGGAGGGGCCGGGTGGAGGGGCGGGGTGGAGGGGTGGAGGGGCGGGGTGGAGGGGCGGGGTGGAGGGGCGGGGTGGAGGGGTGGAGGGGCGGGGTGGAGGGGTGGAGGGGCGGGGTGGCGGGGTGGAGGGGCGGGGTGGAGGGGCGGGGTGGAGGGGTGGAGGGGCGGGGTGGAGGGGTGGAGGGGCGGGGTGGCGGGGTGGAGGGGCGGGGTGGAGGGGTGGAGGGGCGGGGTGGAGGGGTGGAGGGGCGGGGTGGAGGGGTGGAGGGGTGGAGGGGCGGGGTGGAGGGGTGGAGGGGCGGGGTGGAGGGGTGGAGGGGCGGGGTGGAGGGGCGGGGTGGAGGGGCGGGGTGGAGGGGTGGAGGGGCGGGGTGGAGGGGTGGCGGGGCGGGGTGGAGGGGCGGGGTGGAGGGGTGGAGGGGCGGGGTGGAGGGGTGGAGGGGCGGGGCGGGGCGGGGTGGAGGGGCGGGGTGGAGGGGCGGGGTGGAGGAGCGGTCCGGGGCGGGGTGGAGGGGTGGGGTGGAGGGGCGGGGTGGAGGGGCGGGGTGGAGGAGCGGTCCGGGGCGGGGTGGAGGGGTGGGGTGGAGGGGCGGGGCGGGGCGGGGTGGAGGAGCGGTCCGGGGCGGGGTGGAGGGGCGGGGCGGGGCGGGGTGGAGCGGTCCGGGGCGGGGTGGAGCGGTCCGGGGCGTCGGGGCGGCGCGCGCGGGTCTCGGGCCCAGGTCTCTGGCTAGGCCCGCAGGCCGCCCCCTCCCGCGCCCCGCAGCCCGGTCGCCCCGCTCTCGGCCGGCCGCCGCCCTCGGCCCGGGCCGCTGAGCGGGGAGGTGGGCGCAGCCCGCGGCGTGCGGGGCCGGGACCCGCAGCGGGCGGCCGCGGAGCCCCGCTCGCCTCGCGGCGCCCACGGGCGGCCCCGGCCTCGGCCCCGCGCGCCCGGCCCCGCGGCGGGGCTCACCTCGGCTCGGCCCCGCGCGCCCGGCCCCGCGACGGGGCTCACCTCGGCTCAGCACCGCGCGCCCGGCCCCGCGACGGGGCTCACCTGGGCTCGGGGCCGAGGCGTCGCTCTGGCCGGACTCCCGACGCCGCGGGGCGCCTCCCGGGCGCGGTCCCGGCTGGGGGCCGGCGCGGGGCCTTGGGGCTGCGGCCGCCTTGGTCTCGAGGAGCGCGCGTGGGAGCCGCGGGGCCGCGCCACGTCCGGTCCAGCAAGGCCGCCGCCGCTGCCACCTGTCCGGCCGCCAGCTGGGAATGCGCCGGTCGCGCCAGCGCGGTATTAATAACGCAGCGCAGCGCGGGACGCGGGGCGCGGGGCGGAGGGGGCGGGGCAGGGGGCGGGGCAAGAGGAGGGGGCGGGCCTGGGGCAGGGGGTGACCAGGAGCAAGGGGCGGGCAGCGGGAGGGGACAGAGGGGCAGCACCAGGGCAGGGGGCAGGGCAGGGGGAGGCCCGGGGCAGGGGTGGGGCGGGGCAGTGGCAGGGGGCGGCCCAGGGCAGGGGGGCGGGGCAGAAGGGGCCGGGCGTGGGGCAGGGGCGGGCGTGGGGCAGGGGGCGGGCCCGGGGCAGGGGGCGGGGCAGAAGGGGCCGGGCGTGGGGCAGGGCGGGCCTGGGGCAGGGGGCGGGCCCGGGGCAGGGGGCGGGGCAGGAGGGGCCGGGCGTGGGGCAGGGGCGGGCCCGGGGCAGGGGGCGGGGCAGGAGGGGCCGGGCCTGGGGACAGGGGCAGGAGCAGTGGCAGGGGGCGGCCGGGGGCAGGGGCGGGTTGGAGCAGGGGGCAGGGCAGGAGGGGCCGGGCCTGGGGCGGGGGCCGGGGCGGGCCCGGGGCAGGGCAGGGGCTGTGGCAGGGGGCAGCCGGGGACGGGGGGGGGGGGGGGGGGGGGGGGGGGAGGGGTCGGGGTCGGGGCAGGGGGCGGTCTGGGCAGCGGCTGACCTTCAGCTTGCCCAAGCTGGACCCATGGGCTGCGGCTCGTTCCCTGACCCAAGTTCCTGTCCACTCCACCCTGAGCAGGCCTGACCCGGCCCCACCTGGGCCGTGCCCGGCAGAGGTGGACCGCCGTCCCTCGCCTGCCCAGAGACCCCAGGCGCTGGCCAGCCCTCGGCCGGGCACGTCCAGAGGGGGTGGAATCTGCCAGCAGCTCCGAGCCGGTCCAAGGGGCGTCGTCCCCTGGAGCTGTGTGTGCTACAAGGAAGCAAGCACAGGCCTGCACGCCTAGCAAGTGTGAGCCCGGAGTTCACACTCACACGCACACACTGATGCGCATAAGCATGCGTTTGCTTTTCTGCGTGCAATGACACTCACCAATCTAGAAACGTCCGCAGCCACCGAGTTTCCAAACACTGCCTCTGCCGCATTCCCTTCCTCTCTAGGGCCCCACCGCGTGGCACCAGTGCTTCTGCTGTGTCTTGCTCTCCTCTAGTCTGGGGTCTGGTCGCTTCCAGTGACCCTTCCTCGTGTAGCTGATTCACTTCTTTCCCTTATTACATAGCCTGCTGGACACAACCCAGGCCTTCTGCTTCGGCCTTGTCTTGAGCACTCAGACCACCACACCCAGCGTATGCTTAAGACAGGAGTCTTGCTAAATTTTTATGCAGGTTGGCCTTGAACCATGATCCTCCTTTTATTGTGCCAGAACTGGGTTTGACTCAGGGCCATGTGCTCTTCCTTGGCCTTTTCACACCAGGCTGGAGCTGTACTTGAGTCATACCTCTAACTCCAGATTTTGCTGGTTACTTGGAGATGAAAGTGTCAGCCTTGTCAGCCAAGTCTGTCTTGAACCGTGATCCTCAGGATACAGCCTCCTGAGTAGCTAGGCTTATAGGCATGAGCCACCATTGCCCAGCGACCGTGATCCTTCTTATCTCTGCTTCTTGAATATCTAAGATTGTATGTGTGAGCCATTACACCCAACTCCCAGAAGAAATATTCTGAAAACCAAAGACAAAATTTTAAAATTGTTAGTATTTACATTAGGAGACACTACATTCAGGGAATAAGTGTAAGAAAGACAGTTAAATTCTTCCCCAAAGACTACTGAAACTAGAAGAGAATGGCATCTTTAAAGCTCAAAGTAAGTATCGCACATTCAGCTTGATTCACAATGAACAAGAAAATCTATTGTGGGCGGTTCACAGATCACAGGAGAACACCGTGTAGGTGTTGTGGTGGGCAGTTCCACAGATCACAGACCACCATGCAGGTGTTGTGGTGAGCAGTTCAATGGATCACAGACCACCATGCAGGTGTTGTGGTGGGCAGTTCAATGGATCATAGAACACTGTGCAGGTGTTGTGGTGGGCAGTTCCAGGGATCACAGGAGAGCACTGTGCAAGTGTGGTGGGCAGTTCCAGGGATCACAGGAGAACACTGTGCAGGTGTTGTGGTGGGCAGTTCCAGGGATCACAGGAGAGCACTGTGCAAGTGTTGTGGTGGGCAGTTCCAGGGATCACAGGAGAGCACTGTGCAGGTGCTGTGGTGGGCAGTTCCACAGATCCCAGTGGAATACCGTGCAGGTGTTGTGGTGAGCAGTTCAATGGATCACAGGAGAACACTATGCAGCTGTTGTGGTGGATGCTCCATGGATCATAGGTGAGCACCATGCAGGCGCTGTGGTGAGCAGTTCCAGGGATCACAGGAGAGCACTGTGCAGATGTTGTGGTGGGCAGTTCCAGGGATCACAGGAGAGCACTGTGCAGGTGTTGTGGTGAGCAGTTCCAGGGATCACAGGAGAGCACTGTGCAGATACTGTGGTGGGTGCTCCATGGATCACATGAGAGCACCGTGCTAGTGTGGTGGGAAGTTCCACAGATCACAGGAGAGCACCATGCAGGTGTTGTGGTGAGCAGTTCCACAGATCACAGGAGAGCACTATGCAAGTGTTGTGGTGGATAGCTCCACAGATCACAAGAAAACACAGTGCAGTGTTGTGGTGGTCAGTTCCATGGATCACAGGAGAGCACCGTGCAGGTGTTGTGGTGGGCAGTTCCAGGGATCACAGGAGAACACTGTGCAGGTGTTGTGGTGGGCAGTTCCATGGATCACAGGAGAGCAGGTGTGGTGGTGGGTGTTCCATGGATCACAGGAGGGCACCGTGCAGGTGTTGTGGTGGTCAGTTCCAGGGATCACAGGAGAGCACTGTGCAGGTGTTGTGGTGGGCAGTTCCAGGGATCACAGGAGAACACTGTGCAGGTGTTGTGGTGGGCAGTTCCATGGATCACAGGAGAGCAGGTGTGGTGGTGGGTGTTCCATGGATCACAGGAGGGCACCGTGCAGGTGTTGTGGTGGTCAGTTCCAGGGATCACAGGAGAGCACTGTGCAGGTGTTGTGGTGGGCAGTTCCAGGGATCACAGGAGAGCACTGTGCAGGTGTGGTGGTGGGTGCTCCATGGATCACATGAGAGCACCGTGCTAGTGTGGTATGAAGTTCCACAGATCACAGGAGAGCACCATGCAGGTGTTGTTCTGGGCAGTTCCAGGGATCACAGGAAAGCATTGTGCAGGTGTTGTGGTGGGAAGTTCCATGGATCACAGGAGAGCACCGTGCAGGTTTTGTGGTGAGTAATTCCAGGGATCACAGGAGAACACTGTGCAGGTGTTGTGGTGAGCAGTTTAATATCACAGAAGAACAACGTGTAGGTGTTGTGGTTGGCAGTTGCACAGATCACAGGAGAGCACCATGCAGGTGTTATGGTGAGTAGTTCTAGGGATCTCAGGAGAACACTGTGCAGGTGTTGTGGTGAGCAGTTCAATATCACAGAAGAACAACGTGTAGGTGTTGTGGTTGGCAGTTGCACAGATCACAGGAGAGCACCATGCAGGTGTTATGGTGAGCAGTTCTAGGGATCTCAGGAGAACACTGTGCAGGTGTTGTGGTGGTGGTTCCACAGATCACAGGAGAACACAGTGCAGGTGTTGTGGTGGGTGCTCCATGGATCACACGAGAGTACCATGCTAGTGTGGTGGGTAGTTCCACAGGTCACAGGAGAGCACCGTGCAGTTGTGGGAGGCAATTCCACAGGTCACAGGAGAATATCATGCAAGAGTTGGGGTGGGCAGTTCCAGAGATCACAGGATAACACAGTGCAGGTATTGTGGTGGGTGCTCTAAGGATCACAGGAGAGCACTGTGCAGGTGTTGTGGTGGGCGGTTCCATGGATCACAGGAGAACACTGTGTAGTTGTTGTGATGCGCAGTTCCATAGATCACAGGAGAATACTGTGCAAGAGTTGTGGTGGTCAGTTCCACAGATCACAGGAGAACACTGCAGGTGTTGTGGTGAATGCTCCATAGATCACAGGAGAGCACTGTGCAAGTGTGGTGGTGGGCAGCTCCACAGATCCCAAGAGAACACAGTGCAGGTGTGGTGGGTGCTCCATGGATCACAGGAGGGCACCGTGCTAGTGTGGTTGACAGTTCCACAGATACAGGCGAGCACCATGCAGGTGTTATGGTGAGCAGTTCAATGGATCACAGGAGAACACCGTGCAGGTGCTGTGGTGGGTGGTTCCACAGATCACAGGAGAATACAGTGCAGGTGTTGTGGTTGGCAGTTCCACAGATCACAGGAGAGCACCATGCAGGTATGGTGGTGGGCAGTTACATGTATCACAGGAGAGCACCGTGCAGGTGTTTTGGTGAGCAGTTCAATGAATCACAGGAGAACACCGTGCAGGTGTTGTGGTGAGCATTTCCATGAATCACAGGAGAGCACTGTGCAACTGTTTTGGTGGGCAGCTCTACAGATCCCAAGAGAACACAGTGCAGGTGTTGTGGTGGGTGCTCCATGGACCACAGGAGAGCACCGTGCTAGTGTGGTGGGAAGTTCCACAGATCACAGGAGAGCACCATGCAGGTGTTGTGGTGGGCAGTTCCATGGATCACAGGAGAGCACTGTGCAGGTGTTGTGGTGGGCAGTTCCATGGATCACAGGAGAGCACTGTGCAGGTGTTGTGGTGGGCAGTTCCATGGATCACAGGAGAGCACAATGCAGGTGTTGTGGTTGCACAGATCACAGGAGAGCACCATGCAGGTTTTATGGTGAACAGTTCCAGGGATCTCAGGAGAACACTGTGCAGGTGTAGTGGTGGGCGGTTACACAGATCTCAGGAGAACACCATGCAAGTGTGGTGGTGGGCAGCTCCACAGATCCCAAGAGAACACAGTGCAGGTGTTGTGGTGGGTGCTCCATGGATCACAGGAGAGCACCGTGTGGGTATTGTGGTGAGAGCTCCATGGTGTTCCTTGCCTACCCAGGACATGTCCTAGGTAGAGACAGGCATGAACCCATGAATGGACACAGTGCCATTTACACTATTTAGCTACTGTGAAAAACACTATTTTTTCATGATTTCCTATCTTTATGTGTGTGTCCCCTTACTCTCAAAATTCTGTGTTCTTATGTTTTCAAGTGACACCATCTTTTACATCTAAATTTGTGCATTCATATTCCAGCTTGGTGGGTGGGGTGGCTTCCTTGTCTTGGTGGTTCTCAGCACAGGTCTGTGGTTGGTGAAATGATCCTGTGAGTTGCACACCCACGTTGGATGCTTCACCTGCACTGGCATGTCAGTGCTTAATTCTTCCTTTTTGGGGGGTATTTATTTGTTCTTCTTGTGGCTGGAGCGAGGGTTCAAAGCTGAACCAGAAACCCCCACATAGATTTTGATTCTGAACCACTGTTCAGGAGTAAAAAGCAGCAGCTCTGGGCCCTACACAGGGCCTCCTGGTCCTCAGAGCATTGCCAGGGTGGGCGAGAGGGGCTCGGGCTTGCTGTTAGAAGCCATTTGGGGGCTTTAGTGCATCATGGGGCTCAGCCCATCCATACTTTATCCACTTTCCAGGTCAGATTTGTAGCTAAAACTGCAGAACCTTCTGTACAGATGCCACTGCGTGTGGCCCCTGCTGACACTCTTGATAGTGGGGAGCAGGAGAAATGGCCTTCAGGTATCCAGGGGAAGGACCTGGGGACTCATTGACCATTGTCCCTCCCAATACCACAGACTTGAGTCAAGTAGCAGCCTTGATGTTCTGCTGAACTGGCTGGTTACAGATCCTTAGGTGACTCTACCCCCTGGACAGGCTATGGAGGCAAACTCCAGTGCAGGAAGCCCCTCTCTTGCCCTACCTGAGGGCTTGTTAAAGGCACAGTGCAGTGTTTGGCTGATCCCTGGCTGGTACTCCAGTGCTTCAGTCTTGTGTCCATCCGTGTGTCAGCTGTGTCACAAGCATGTCGAATAAGAATGATCACCTCAGATCACAGTTCAAAGACAGCCTGGGCAGGAAAAGCTGTGAAACTCAACAAACCACCAGAAAACCAGAAGTGGTGCCCTGGCACAAGTGGTAGAGTGCTAGCCTTG